GGCACAGTACTTATTACGTCGTCATTCCATAGGTCATCAATGATCGGCGCAGTAAGGTTGATTTCAGACGTTGACAAATCTCCTTCCACTTGAATTTCGAATGTAGTGAGAAATATTTTCGCCCTCGAAATATAATCAATAAATCTGTAATTTCCCAAATTTTTACAAAAATGTGTAGACCGTGATATTCAGTCTAGGCTCCAAAAGCCAGAACAGCCCTCAGGTCTTGTGTCGACATTCATTACAATTGTAGTCTTTGTTGAGCTTATATAGGATTAAAATTTGATAATTCATTAAATTATGGGACTTTGAGACATATAAATATTCTGTCGTGTGCTGATCTCATCAAATAAATTCTTATCAAACATTTTCTGTCCTTTATTCAAAATGCCTTCAAAAAATTCCATTTTAAAACGAACTGAACGTGCTAGAACTTTTCGTGCAGAAATAAAAGCTAAATATCTTCGTGAACAACTCGCTTGCCTTCGATCTTCTCTTTATTTAGAGGAGCAAAATAAACTTCTTTCTGATGAACTTTTAGAAGTTTATCATGATTCACAAGAACTTCATGAAAAAATACAAGATCAAAATCATACAATCTCTCTTCTGAGAGAACACGAAGAAGAGTTATTACAAGGCTTAGCTCTTTTGGAGGTTCAAAATTTAAACCAACGTGCTATAAACTTACAAGAGCGGTTGCATTATAGGGGTGTAGTAGAAGAAAGGATTTTTGCTGATGTGGATAGGACTTGGTGGTGGATTTGTATTTTTCTTTTAGTTGGATTTCTTTTGGGTTATTTTGCTTTCGATATTTTCTTTGATTAGGTGATTTGTTGGATTAGGCTGGAATTGTGGCTGAGGTGGAGTTCTTTTTTTTTTTTTTGATCAAAAATAATAAATTTTATTCTATATTTTGGTGATTTAATTATGTCGATCTGATTTTTAATTGTGATGTACTAATCTATTCCTATATCAGGAAATTTCATTCAAATTCAATTTCCAAGTAATCTACCATGAGGAAAATCCTTTTTAAAAGTGAATACAAATCTAAAATTAACTTTCTGATCGACCGATTATGCAGACTAAACTTTTCCAAGGCAGGCTGTGTAGAATTTTGCAAACATTTTTCTATATTAAGAATTTGTACACATAATATCTCGTTCTTAAAAATCATGCAATATTTTCTCCTTGTACTTTTGAATGTACAGATACTAAATTAAGCTTAGATGTTGCATCTGAATAGATTCTAAAATAATTACATCATTTTTGTCCAATTAAATCAACTCATCCTATTTTGATCATCATGTTTATCGATCCATAAACAAGATTTAGTCATGTTCTACAAATTTCTTGTTTGTTGATCATCATCAACCAATAGATACCAATATCCTTTTGTTTATTTTTCTGCAAAAGAAAATTTTCCCATGTCGTTTAAATTTTTCCCATACTGATTTTTCAAATATAAAAATCACCTTTTAAATTTCTCTTTTTCTCAAAGAAAATTTTTATACTACCAAAATTATTGTTATTTTCTTTTTGTAAGTTTTTGATTTCTCTTTGATAAAATATATTCCATCTGTTTAAGATTTAACGAATAATACTTAAAGTTACTGTGATGTTTTGAGTTTACTGAAGTATTGAAGAAATGCCATACATCCGATACTTTCTGAAGACGAAAGACTAGAGATTAAATAGAATTAATATAAGTGCTGTATTAATGTAGATATCTATCTCATTTTTCTTTCCAGTTACTATAGTTTTCCAGCAATATGACTCATACACGTCGTCAAATACAAAGAAGAGGTTGGTCGAACCGTCAAAAAGAACGTATCAGAGAGAGAAGAGAACAAATACACAATGAAGGTGAGCTACCTGGTGGATTTGGTGAAATTCCTGAACTGCAATTATTGTATTGGGACTGTTTCTAAACTGCAATTATCATTTTGGAAATGGTTGGATTCATTAGACTAATTTCACTTAGTCAAGTTACGCATAGACTAATATTTTCCTTTTTCTATATATTTGACATATATAGGTCATCAAGAGAGTCATGAAGAAACTTCAACCTTATGAGAACAATTAACAACTTCTTTGGAACAGACAGTAACTTTCTTTGTAGAATTTAATCAAGCACATGATTTACTAATGGAACTTTCTACATTTTTATCTCAAACTGAAAATAGATTTCAAGATCTCCAAGAAACTTACGATACTTTGTATCAAGATTTTCTTCAAGTTCAGCAAGAAAGAGATCTTCTCCAAACAAATTCTCAAACACAAGCTATATAAACTCAAAGATTACAAGAGACCCTAGAAACTGTTCGTAGTAGATATAAATTTATCATATAGCAAATTCTTGATTGAAGTGTAGAATATGGATTTCGTGTGAGATTTTGTCATCCTAATGAGGATTAAGTATAACTTTTCTTTTAATGTTCATTTTCACGACTAGAAACTATTAAATTTTACTCAAGGGAAATGCCGTACGTTTCGGCTGACCTTGAACTACACTTGTCGTACGCTTCAGCTATTCATGAGTCTATGCTTCCCTTTCTCTCTTTTGTAGCAAAATATTTTTGTTGTTAATATAGTTTTCTAAAATAGTTTTCTCTATATGTCTTTTTATCTTTATTTTCTTCAAAAATTATGTATTTTTCAATATTTAAAGAAATTTTGCATATCATTACACTTTTGCTTATTAACAATTTTATAATTCGTCATATATTGTCAAATGTCATCATTCCACGTGATATATAAAATTAAGTAAAATAAAATAATAATAATAAAAAAATAAAATCTCTATATCTTTTTCAATAAAATTCTTTTTCCATTAGCCAAATGATTTCTTCATCAGACTTTACAACCTTAGGGAATTTCTACCTCCTACAGGTATCTGGAACCATTTGCTAAAAATTTTCATGCTTTTTACCAGACTTAGCAATAACCTCCACAGATTTTTTTACAGGATCAGTAAAAACCCAAAGCCCTTACTTTTCATTTAAGGCTCAGTAGTAACCCTTTTTCCTTGATAAAAATAAAAATAAAAATAAATATTTATACATTTTCTCAATTATCTCAGCATCTAGTACTCCAATTTAAATGAAACAAATATCATCGTAATGCTTGACATATAACGGTTCCGATGATCCAAAAATTATAAAATTCTGATCGGTCAAAGTTGTAATAATGGCGTCTGTAACATTCGTATTAGATATGCATTGTAATATCTTCTTTTATCCAATAAGAGTATTGGTTAAAACATGTGACTTATACCAGACTTTGCGTAACTAAAATGTTATACAAGCTCTCACAGGGTTGTGAAGGCAGGAACTATTCGATGAGACTTTGTGTAACCTTTGTGTAACCTAAGATCAAAGTTCCACTCTCTTCTCTTAAATTTTCAACTTGGTTTACTCTTCTTCTTAGTATTATCCTGGCAGAAATCACCACTTTGTCACCGGGAATAATCTTTTCTGATTACTTCACGTAATATATCTAAGTTCCTTTACTGCGGTAATTACAACCTTAGGGAATCTTACGTCCTACAGGTATCCAGAATGTCTTGGAATTATTTCACTTGGTTTATGAACTTAAGGGTTTAGAGACTTAGGAAATTTAGAGAATTTATTTATTCTAAGTGATGAACTCAATCGCATGTTAGTATAGTGGTTCACGATCAAATCCTAGATGATAGATACGTAGAAGGAAAAGTATTTTTGTTTTTAAAAGTTGATTCCTTTATTACTTAAACTTGTAATAAAACTAAAACTCGCAATAGAGTTATTTTACAACATGAGCAAAAAGCTATTCTATTTATACAAAATTAATTTGCTATGACTAACTAATTGCTATGTTATAAACTAACTAAATTTGTAACTACAAGTGTAAATATAATAATGATAATGATTATAAGAAGAATAATAATTATAATTATAATAATAAGTATAATAAAAATAGTAAAAATAAGAAGAATAACGATAATAATTAAAATAATAGAAATACGGGAAATTAGGAAAATCTAACAAATCATGATAATCTGACGAATCCAGTAAATCCTAAGAATCCTACGAATCCCCAAAATCCTTTGAATCATAAGAATTATCAAAATCCAGAATTATCAGATCTTCTAATTTGTGATTGACATAAAATTAATTTTAGTAACTTTTGTAGATCATTTAATAATTATTTATAGATCAACTTTTCAATAGTGAATTTTTAGCCGGTAACAACGTAAATATCGATGATTAGAATAATTTCTGCAATAAAAAATTTGTGAAATGTTTTAGCCTGCCTAAACCTCAAAAACATTTCTTACGTTTATCTCAATATCAGAGGCATGGCTATGATGAAGAAAGTATAATGGAAGGGTTAAAAGCTAAGAATACTACACAATAGGAAATTACCTGCTATAAAGCTGAAGAGAATCTGGAAAAATCAGAGGCAGAGAACTTGCATAAATCTTATTCGGCAAATCACTGGGAAGCTATAAAGGAACTTTTTCAAATACTAGGCTTTACTAACATTAATGATATATGTATTTTTTTAGGTAATATTATTTCAGAAGCATTCGCTCAATCATGTGAAAGATTTATAGAAATTCAAAGTCAGTCTTTATTACTCTTTAGTTTTAAGTCCTGTGCAAAAGAAAAGCCTGATCTTATATCAGCTATAAAAACAATCAATGCAATCGCTAGTAATTGGTATGGCTATACAGTTAAAAGCAATCAGAAAAAAAATAGGATCTAAAGAAAAGCAAGTTTGGGAATATTCATATCAAATTAATCGCTGATTATATAAAGGTCTTGGTTTTGGAGATAAAGGTATGCCAGAGCTTTCACTATATAAGCCAAAAACAAATAATGAGATTCAGGAACTCTTTAATTCTATAGAGCAGAAAAAATAATACTTCAGCTAAGGTTGCTTGTCTAAACTTATTTTGGATTTGGCAAAATGGTAAAACCTTTAGTTTTGCTAAATTTTTACTAAGTGTTTGATATAGTTTCGCCATTTTTATAAGCTTTGATATAGTTTTACCTTTTTCCAAATTTCGCAGATTTTTTAATAAGGTTTTAATATAATTTAACTAAGTTTTACTTTTACCATTTAGACGTCTGTCTAAACTCTTAATTTCATCCAGCAACCTTAACTTTAGCCTATTATTTAGCATTTAGCTAAGTCTTAATCATATCAAATGATCCTAAAGTGATCGATTCTGTTTTAGTTTTTTACTTTCACACCAGACATGGTTATAAATTCCACTATGTGTGTTACAAATTCCAGTATCAGAATAGGTTCCCTTCTTACAAATAGGGCATATTATTCTAGAATAGGCTTTATAATGTCTGACACATTCTGAAACACGCTAGCATTCTTTTTCACAAATCGAACTATCTTTCTTGATGTATTAACAGGATAGACGATCTATATAAGGTAATTTTGATATTAATAATCTTAAAACTTCATCTTCACTTTTATTATAGATATTTAAAATTGCTTTGCTTTAGCACCTTCAGCCAAAGTTACATATGACAAGAATCTCTTTTCTCTTACTAATCATCAGAAGAAAGTTAAAGCATATTCTGAAATCTCTGATTAATGAATTTTTTCAAATTAAACTTTTCAGATATAGTATAACCTAACATTTTTCCACAATTAAGGTTGCTTGTCTGAATTCATTTTGGATTTAGCTACTAAATATTTAAACTTTTAGTTTTGCTAAATTTTTACTAAGTGTTTGATATAGTTTCGCTATTTTTATAAACTTTAATATAGTTTTACCTTTTTTTGAATTTCGCAGATTTTTTAATAAGATTTTAATATAATTTAACCAAGTTTTACCTTTATCATTTAGATGTCTGTCTAAACTTTTGATTTCGCCTAGCAACCTTAACCACAATCTAATAGTTGATCTATAATCTCTATTTATATTATCATGTCTGCAACTATAATAAAGTACGTTACAGACCACAAACTCAACCCAAAGATGAGTAATGGAGAGCTTAGTCAGTATGTATCAGAATTACTCAAGTTCTTGACAGATAGAATGAAAAGAGATAAGGGTTGCTGGTGTCTTAAAGATAAATATGATTTTAGCAAAAAACAGATATTTATACTAGTCTTCTCTCAAAGAACTGGTCAAGCTAAAATACAAGTAACTTTTCAAGAAGAGGAGTCAGAAGTGGAAGTAAATATATGCTAAGTATATTATTCTAGAAGGAGAGACTATCAAAGAAATGGCTCAATGTATTATATGAAATAATCTTAGCAAAAAAGAAGTGGAAGTAATACGTAGAGTCTTAATCAAAACAGCTACTGATGCTATTGTTGGTTTATCACGTATATCAGGACTCGAAGGGAATTGAGAAATCTCAATGCTTCAGAAAAAATAACCTCTGCCATGTTTAACCGAAAAATAACTTGTGCATTTAACAAAATTCAAAAAGCACAATATGATCAATGTAAAAATGAAGAAATTGATTTCCTAGATCTCTTATCATTAGAATCAGTTAAAGAGAGACTGGATTCATATGATATGACTAATACACCTAATAAACTGGTTTTAGTTGTTATAATGATCATGTTTATACATGAAGTCGAAATGGATCATTTCGGATATCTGAAATGGTCGAAATGGTCGAAATCATTTTTTTTTTTTTTTT